TGCTGTGATGTCTGTTAATCAAAGAACAAAAAAAAAAGAGGAAATCAATAACTTTTGTAGCTTTAAGGATTCATCAATATTTAATTTAGAATATAGTGTTTGATAACTTTATTCAATTTCTGTATATTCCCTGCTTGATGAAGAGTACAGGTTCCTAAATATGACATTTATTATAGGGTTTATGTGAAGATTGTTTTAAGTTCACTTAAATTAGAAGTTGTTATTTTTTAAAGTCTAATAAATGTTAAAATTGATCATCAGTAGTATTGGTATCAGTGATGCTTACCTTCAGTCATAAAGATGGCATAAAACAATAAAAATAAATCTTTATGTTGTTTCTACATTAATTATTACATACATTTTTGAAGACTGAATGTGAAATTATTGCAATATAAAAGTATATTTAAAAACTTTAATGTTCGGTGGGATTAATTAAGATTAATCACAATTAATTTCAGAAAAAATGTGATTATTTTTTTTAATCGATTGACAGCACTATATATATATATAATGTATATATGCAGAGAAGTAGATATTGTTCATGCTCAACTTTTATATTTCTGTTTGCTTTTGCTACCATCTAACGCATATTTAAATATTTGATTAATGATATATATATATATATATATATAATATATATTAAATGTGACCTTTAGGAAATCTCAAAATTGATTTTCACAAAATTACTGTTATTACAGAATTTTTGTTCTTACCAAAATGTTTGTACACAGTAGTGTATTTATTTTATGTAACTATTTTTTTAGTGTTTATTTTATCTATTTTTCAGTTTTCTTCTATACCATAAAAAAGTAATTATTTGTATTATATGGGCCAGAAATGTAATATTGTGCATTCTTATTTGATGTCAGTGACTGGTTTTTGCGTTGTAACCAATTGTGACATGCCAAGTTTCAGCTGGACACGACGGGTGCAGGATGGGTAAAGAGAAATTGTTCAGTAAAGCTCTAAACACAAAGAGAACGGAAAACAGGAAGCAACCATGTGTGTAATGACAGGTAAAGAGGGTCACCTTGTGTAAATGAGATTGGCTTTACTATTATGCATGAAATATTTGATCTACTCAATCAGCTCACACCTTCTTACTCTCTGCTTTCTCTGGTGGGCTTAGTTTTGTATCCTAACAAGATTCCATGATCGCTTTGTGCCATTATGATAATTTATTATAGGCCGCATGTTGCATATTAATGAGCTTGAAGCTGATATGACCTCAAAAAGCATTAAGCTCTGAACCGAGTGCCCCTGTTCCCCTCACACACCCCAAATGAGAGTGATTTCTCTGGAGGAGGATGTAACTCCTGAGGGAAGCAATGTACAGAGGTCTGTCTCCTCTGAGACACCAGCTGGAGGAACCGCACAAGCTGTGCTATTTAAAGAATTTGAATTATGGTGTGTGTGTGTTTAATAACAGAGACAAACCACAGTGCGTGTTGTGTTTGTGTGTGCATTTTTTTCAGTCTAGGGATTTAATATCTCCAATAATCACCCCATGCCCTGCCCACAGCTGTAAAAGAGTGTCTCTGATTGGTTCTTAACTCTCCGCTCTCCCAATTACGTCATAATGAATGAATGAATGAATGAGCTTCTGCTTATTATCTCCAACAGAGGCTTCATCATTCATCACTTATCAATAACAACAGAATCACTCACCGCGTTAATGTTATCTTTTTCTCAAGTCTTGGTTTTTGCTATGTTAAAATTTTATTTTATTCTTTTTAAGTATCTTGTGACATGCTATTTTAATTTAAGGTCATTTAAATATTTAAGTAGCTTGGCATGATCATTTTAATTTCATTTAAATATGTATTTTAAGTAGCCTGTGGCTTGACATGCTATTTTAATAAAATGTAATTGAAATATTCAAGTATTTTATTTTATTGTATTTTATAAGATTTTATTTAAGTATTTTATTCATTTTAAGTAGCTTGTGGCTTGGCATGTTATTTTAATTAAATTTTATTTAAATATTTAAGCTTTTATTTTATTTTTTATTTTTTTATTCATGAAAATGAGCAATTCAAGTTTGAATTATGGGTAGGGCTACCTGTTTGACTGAGCATTGTTTCATACAAATTATGATATTATTAATCTTTTAATATCTGATTTTAAATTGTAATATTATTTCATATATAATCCTGTATTAATTAGACTTATTTTATTTTTTAACTTAAAAAAAATCTTACCAACCCCTAATATTGACCAGTATTTTTAGTACTGAATAAAACGGATCTATCTCGGCTCTAGTGACTCATCACTGAGCTTACAGTTCATTGAGGGTTTGCTATTTTAACGTTACATTTGCTGCTGCCTTACAAGATAGCATTATTTAGCTGCCTACTGCTTGGAACCATTGCATATGTGTCTACGATGCCTAAAAACCCAAGTGTGCAGTTCAGGATTTACAGTGTGTGCTGCATACAGAGAGTAAACATGATTAGACTGAGGAACGCTGATTTGAATTTGATTTGTTGTGTTTGAGGAAGTTACCGGCTGCCACTGACTTGGATAAAACACTTTATGAGCCTTATTGATGCTTTCCTCAAGCGTATGACAATAAGGTGTGTTTTCTTGATCAGCCGGTGGTGAGTTATTGACGGCCGGGGAGGAGAGTGTCACGTTATCGCAGAATTATACATCACGTTATGAATCCATCAGCAGGAAGCTCGAGTGCTTGTCATCTGCTTCTCCTCATCTATCTGAAAGAGAGCGAAGCCTTCTTACTTCATCTTCTCTTTCTTCCTCTTGAAATATAGAGAAACGTCAAAGGAGAAGAGTGTATGATTAACTCCAGAGTGATGGAGATACGAGGGACGCAGAGAGGGAGAGGAGAGTGGAAATGACAGTTGGATTCCGGTTTGTAGCGTCGGATTGTGTTTTGTGGAAAGAGTGGATATTCTTCATCTTTTCTCTCTCCTGTGACATCACTCGTTACTTATAACCATCCCAGTGTGACAGGCTCCACTCCGAGCCGTACGCACAGGATGCAATTAAGTCACAGTGCATTATATATGCATGTGTGTGTGTGACAGACCCAGAGGGAAGGGTAGATGGAGAATGGCTGTTGGTGGGTTTAGGAGCTGGATGTAGATCTGTTTACACTGATGTGGTTTGACTTCAGAAACTTGTCCGGTACTTTAACGATGTTGTAGTGCAGGAAGCCCCTACAGCGCAGCACAACTGAAGTGAACATCATCGTAGTGACATGTGCACTGAGCAGTTTACTCTTCAGAGCCTGTGTGTGTGTTTTTTTAAGCAAGAACTCAAGCGTTCAAATGTGAGCATAAAAACAATATCGCAAACTGAATACAAACGGGTCATTCTATGAAACGGATGCTTTTGAGGTTCCATTGGTTTTCAGTGTGATAAAGTGATTAAAGAAAGTGTTTGAGCGAGTTTAAATATTCTGTTTCATATCCTGGGATAGGAATTTGATGCTAATATGTGTAGTATCAACTCTTAAATGATCATATTTCATAATATTATTTATTTATTTTAAATTATGGAATAGTTCATTACTTTAAAGGAAGAAAAAAGCTCTGACTTTGTGCTGTTATGGCAAGGAGAAATTGGAAGCAAGACAAAAGACCAAAAATCTTAATGAAAGGAAGAAACTAATATTATTTATTTATTTATAAATTTATTTATTTATTTATTCATTTATTTATTTATTTATTTCGAATGGATGATTAAATTAATTTTATTTTTGTTTATTTATTAATTTAGGATAGATAGATAGATAGATAGATACATAGATACATACATACATACATACATAGATAGATAGATTGATTGATTGATTGATTGATTGATTGATTGAGTGATTGAGTGATTGATTGATTGATTGATTTTCATTTGACCAGCTGTACTTTAGATAGAGTTTCTCATTGGAACAATGACAGACCAAAAATTAATCTTCATTAAATGAAGGGGAAAGAACACTACTAAAAATAAAGCTTTATTATTTATTTATTTATTTTGTAAAAAAAAAAAAAAAAAAAAAAAAAAAAAAATTTTTTTATTTTTTTTTTGTGTGCCTTGATTTTAAAAAAAAAAAAAAAAGTAACACTTTTTTCACTTTTTTTTGTGTGGATCCCTTGAATGTTCTGTGATTGCTTTCCCAATCTAAAGACATCTGACGTTCAACCGGGAGACACAACTTTTAATAATATATTAAGTCAACCAAAATCTATTCAAAAATATATATTAAGAAAATGCTAGCTTTATTCCCAAATTAATTTTTTTTCTTGAAATGTGCATTTTTGCTAATATTCTAATATATAATAAATATATAGAATAATTGCTAATAATATGCTATTGAGCAATTGGAATGGGGTATGAGGACAGGCTTAAAATTAATCTTCATAAAAAATACTCAAGAATAGAGTTTTTCTTCTTTTCTTTTTGTGCTGTTGAGAAATGTCTGTAAAAACTGACATCAGCTATTCATTAAATAATTTTTTATGCACATACTGTATATATGAGGGACACACATGGCACAAATGTTTTTTTTTTTTAAATTTTGTGTCTTCTGCTCTGATGGTCATTGATGTTAAAGTCAGGTATCAATCCAGGTTTTCTATCACTTTCAACCATCTTATCTGTGTTTGGTGGAGTGTGTGCATGTGGATTATTCTCCGGGCTGGTCACAGATATCTCCTCTGATAAGGTCAGACAAGAGCTGACCACTTTAAGGACACAGACAACTTATCCTATATCCGTCTTCAGAAACACAGGGCCACTGTGGTGCAAAAGTGGCACTGCGGAGAGTTTGTATTCTAGAGCTGCGCTCTTCAGTCCTGGTCCTCTACACCAGAACAGCACATTTTGGATGGAAACACACAGTTCAGTTTTTTTTTTTTTCCCCATCAAGATACTGCAATCTCTTCTAGAATTCTTTATGCAAACAATGTACATTGCAAGAACTGAGAGATAAACATAAATATTCATGATTCCTCATAAAACTTTTTTTGTCTGCTTTTCAGAAACATTAATGGACACCCGGACCGCCACAGCAGAGCTCGGGTGGACGGCGTACCCTTCGTCAGGGGTGAGTGTGTGTTTGCATGAAAACATGACCTGCAGAACTGCTCACACTGTGTTAAAACACTTACTCTGTGTCTTTTATTTTGAGAAAAGCACTTTAAACCGAAACCTCCTTCTATTCACCCTTCAGCAACAGCTTACTAGAGAAAGAGAGACCAAATGCTTTCAGATTAGCTCTAAAATAAGCTGTAAAATGTTTGTACAACAGGTGCCGTGTCTGAATGGTGAAATTAAGAGATCAACGACACACACACAAACACACACTTCTTTCTCCTTCTACCAAAAGGCACAGAGTGAAAACCTCATCACAGTCGGCATGCACATTTCACTCAGCATTTGACATTCAGAAGGACTTAATGACATAATGGGTCCACTTTAAGTAAAAAACAACTCTTCTGAATCGGTCTAAATGTGGTCCGGAGGAGAGCAGGCTACTGTAATGACAGCCGCAGCACTGCTCAACCTGCAAAGAAATATAAAGGTTTCATTGAACTCTCAATGAGTGCACAAGAAATTGTGTGCTTCCGGAGTGGTTTCCATTTTTAATGGAGTTTCAGCTGAAAGTGATATACCTGTGCTTGTTTGTACTCTTGCTGTTGTCAAATAGAAACATCTGTTAGCCTCATAGCACAGTGACTTTGTGATTTTTTTCAGTTTGAACAAGGTTTTTTCCTAATCCGAGTAACCTGTGGCAGGCAGTTTCTGTTTTTGTAATGTTA